CACACGAAGCAAGCCGATGTACGGCTGATTTCAGCCGATGTACGGCTGAAATCAGCCGTACCAGCCTGAAGTGAATAGCCGAACGGTGTTCGGCTCACTTCACTTCTGATCGGTCATTCACTCGGCTGCCCTCGGCAGCTTTGTGAATAGACCCCTAAGTGTCTCTCAATTCCTGTTCATCAAACAACTTCAGTCCTCATCAACATGTTTCAAGCACGTCCACATATTTCTAAATAAGAAATATAATGTGTGTGCCGGGTATAGACTTTTAAGAGAAGGAGGAATATTTACTGGATAATATAAGGAGAAAATGGGAGCACTAGTAATATACATTATTTGTTTCACCACTGATCCATGCATTACATCACTTTCGGTGTCACTGGGCACATTCTCTGGCTCCTAGAGCCAGAAGAAGAAGCTGGTGAAGCAGATCTCTGATTAATCAGCTTCTTTGTGGTCCCTAGGTGACATTAGATGAAAAAAAAAAGAATTGTAAAAATTAAAGTAACAAAAAAAATGCAAAAATAAATTTTAACCTCTTGCCGTCCGCCCGTAGTAAAAAAACGGACGGACGGCACTGCAGCATCTGCGGGTTGCCGTCTCCAGACGGCAATTTTTTTCTGCTCGCGCGCGCCCCCTAGCGGGCACGCAAAAAGCTCTATCTGTCCCCAAAAAAGGGTATAAAATTCATTTCAGTACAGCGCTGCATGACGGAATAAATGTCAGTTAAAGTACCGCAGCGCTGAATACTGAAAAATGGCCTGGATGGGAAGGGGGTTTAACACCGCGGATGTCAACTGGTTAAAGTCCCCCGCCTTTCCACGTGCACACACATACAATGCAAACACACGTTGGATGCGCTTATGTGCAAAAACGAAAATTGCGCCACACATGTTACATATCGTTGCAAGCATCGAAATGAGAACAATAATTCTACTCACATCAATCACTGTTAGCACTAAACTGATGTGCTTTTAAAGCGTCACTTATGGAAAATTTTGGTTATTGTAGTTTATTGCAATTTCACAGGCATGCGCAATTTTAAGGCTTGACATGTTTGGTATCTATTTACCGGGCGTGACCCCATCTTTTATATTTTACCAAGCAATTGGATATTATATTCTGTTTCTGTGCACTACATTTAATTTTAGTGTATTTTATCCTAAAAATACTGGTTTGATAAACATTTGCGCAAATACCGTGCAACATAAAAAATGTCATCTAGCATCTTTTTATTCTATAGGGCCTTTGCTTCCAGAACATATATAATTGTTTGGGGGTCTGGAGCTGTTTTCTAGTCAAAAATTCTGATTTTATCATGTGTGTGCAAATGTAAGAAATTGCTCTGGGCAGCAAGTGGTTAAAGATAGACTCAAAATACCTATTTGGGAGACAAAAAGCACTATGAATCTTGCGCCACACTGTATTTGGACACACAAAGTGCACCTTCATAACACTTGCACAGGAGTAGATGTTTTCTGCCTCTGTGGCTTTTAGTCTTTGCTTTGGTTGCAGACAAGAAGCACATTTATTTTGCCTTTTTTATGTGAGCCAACAAAGTAAGCTATGTGTGTGAATCAGCTCATACAACTTGTTGTTTTTAATGAAACATCGTTAAACCATTTTCATTTTATCTCCCAGGACTTCTCCACTCCACACATGATAATGTACAGTGAGAAGGACTTGGATGAAAAAGCAGCAAATATCAATGTCCTGGGGATCATAGCAAATATGGAAGAGACAGGTTTTGGTGTGAAGATACAATCTATTAATGTCTTAAGTGGAGTGTAAGTATCATTTTCATCATTTTCCTAAGTTTACATATTTTATTTTGTGTTGTAAATTGCTTTGTAAATGCTTTGGCGTGCTGCAGCTACGCAGGAAAATGTGCATCTTTGCACACGTTGCCACAACACACAGATGTCATTGGGGTTAAATGTGCTTTCATTACAGCTATTATGAGTACCTGAAAATGTCTTTTCCTGAACATCAGAACACAGATTGTTAGAGTGAGGTCTCAGCACTATGATCCAGTCTGGCACTTTTATATTGCACAGTGCTGTCAGTCTAACGCAGTGATTACCTCATTATTGTGCTTATGCATCTTCATTGTCAATTCAGACAATTCATAGTGGAAGCGGCAGATATATAGGCAAAGCAAATCCCGATCATCAGCGCTGATCACTGCCCATTTAAGTATTTTACCACAGGAAATGAATTGAAGTGTAAATGTTGGAGCAGGTTCATTAAGCAGACAAGTCTGGGCTTCCATAATTCTGACAAGTTGGTATGCTGTCATACATCATACTTGATATAATAACAGACTTGTCAGAAGATGTTTTATCATGACTCAGCATGGCAGTGATTTGTAATTTCCTGTATGCCCTTGGCAGTAAAGAATCCTGTAACGCTGTACTCTGGATGTGTTTACTCTGGGTTAGTTTGGTATTGGTTAATAATTAGAAAAGAGTTTAGATCAAAAGTACAAATGGATGTCAAAATGGTAGAACATTGTCAGAAATTATGACATTTAAAAAAATATTTTGTTATAATAGTTTGGCGAACGTTATGACATTTTCTAATTCTGACGCATTTCTATAGACACAGCTTGACCCTCCGCTAAGAGCTGGTATCTGCTTCCTGCAGTGTCTTTTCTTTCCTCTTCTACACCAGTCATCCTCTGAACTCCTTCATCCTTCCTGGCTATTAGTTACCGCTCCCCGCAGGGACCCCTCTTCCCTCTATTGCTCCAGCGCTGACTGGAGGAATGCACAGGAGAGGGGCTGGGCACAGCTGACTCTGTCTAGAGAGACAGAGTCAGCTGTCAATCAGGCAGTGGGGTGGATCCCGACTGAAGTGCGGCTCTGCGCTGTCAGCATATAGTGGGAAATATCCTGCTGTATGCTGAGTTTTGGGTCCCAGGAGGACATTAGTCCTCCTGTGACCCTAAAGAGAACTATGGAAAAAAAAAAAGGTTGGACCATATCTGTAAAAAATGTCAAGGCAACTGGACTTGCTGTATTTTCTTGAAGACGTTTCACTGGTCATCCAACCAGCTTTCTCAATTCAGAATGGAGAATTCTGAATTGAGAAAGCTGGTTGGATGACCAGTGAAACGTCTTCAAGAAAAATACAGCAAGTCCAGTTGCCTTGACTTATTTTTTTACACATATACCATGTGACCTGGATGAATGATAACCTTCACAGACATGTTGGACCATAGTTCTCTTTTAACATAGTAGTCTACATTCATCCAGGTGTTCAACTGCCACTGTGGGGACAGGTGGTTCTAAAAGTAGACTTTTAAAATGTAATCACATCAAACTAATTTATGTTCTTAAGGTTTTGGTAAACTGTATTTAAACATGGAAATGTATATTTAATTGTATTCTGTATTTAAGATTTTCAAAGATTTTAGTATTTGTTTAGAAAAAACTTGTTGCAGCTGCTTTTTGATCATTTTATTTCACTTTTAAACAGATGGGTGGCTTACGAATGTCCCGACTTTACTGGGGAACAATACATACTGGAGAAAGGAATGTACTCAAACTTTAGTGATTGGGGAGCTAAGAATGCCAAAATCTCCTCTGTACAGCCAATTAATATGGTATGTTAGGGATTATATGAAAGTTTCTTTGAAACAACACTTTATGAATTTGTACATGGATTACAGTCTTCACAGTCATGTCAATGTAATCCTTCCTGTAATGTATTCAATTTGGTTTTTTAATGGACACTATAGGGCTGATTTACTAAAGGAGTAGAGAATCTTCACTTGCTAAATTGTAGCTCTGTTCACTTAATTATCCCAATATGTGCAGATGAAATAAAATTCATATGAGATGGGGATTCCCCTCTCCTCTCTCCATTCCTGCAGGGTTGCCGGGTGGCCACAGCTGGTCCCTGGCTCTAGAGAGGCTGAGCCAGTTGTCAGTCAGCCAGCGGAGTGTATCCGGATAGGATTGTTAGGATCTGTCCCTGCTTCAGTGCAGCGCTGCGCTGTCAGCATATAGCGGGCAATGACCTGCTATATGCTTAGTTTTGGGTCACAGGAGGACATAGTATATGTTCTCTTGTGATCCTTAAGAGAACTATTGCCAAAAAAGGTTGGGCCATAGTTGTCTTTTAAGGTAAACACAACTTAACTTTTACCAAGTGATCATTCTCTCCTCTTTTAATAAATCAGCCTTGATTCACTAAAGGTGCAAGTGTTATGTTAAACATCGAGTCATTTGCATGTGAATTTTCTTAATCAAGAATCTGGTAGCACAATTAGAAGTTTAAAATGAATGTAGCTATATTAGACTATTGGGAAAAATGTTTAGTAAATCACCCCACTCATTTAAACAATGTTATTGTTCCCATGTGAATATTTTTAATTTCTTTTTTATTAGGAAACCCTTGAAAGTCCATGGGGACATTTTAAGGTATGAATGACATCTTTTCTATATACCGTATGGTACTTGTTTGACATCTTGCTATATTGTTGCATTTTAATAGATTTAGCAAACTAGAAAAATGGCCTACGTAAGAAGTTGGGCATCTTATTCAACAATATAAGATATAAATATTGACGAGCACACTTTAAGAAATAATAGATGTGGAATTCATAGTAGAAGGGGTTTAGCTTGATGATAGACAGAGCTTTGTCTAAGAACTGGTTTAATGACACTACAGATTATTATAAGTTATGAGCAGAGTTAAGTTTGCTAAATCCAACCTTTCTCCACAATATTCACTTTATTGTTAACACTGTTCATTCACTGCTGCTTTACCAACACAATTTCAACGCTCATAGGGTACAATACTAAATAGTGAGACAATGTCATACATTTGCCAACCCCTATTCCAAACATGGGGAAACAGAATCAATTTTTTAATTATACGCAATATATTCAATATCCGAACTGTGTTCGGCCTTACTGGTCGAAGAGTATCTATAATTTGTACAGATCGGGTCCTTAATAGCCTGTTCTGGTAGAAACTGTAACATTTAAAACAAAGAAGACAATGCACTTTGTATTGCAGTCAGTTAATCATTTTTATGAAGTTTTTGTGTTTATTTGATATTAAGGTTGAAGTGTTTTCAGAATCTGATTTCCAAGGTGAAAAACAAATATATGAAGGAGATGTGAATAACATAGAAGACTCCTTTAAAATTATGTCCTGCAAAATTTCTTCAGGCAGGTAAGGAAACAATTGCATAAAAGCAACTAGGAACTCGAAAAGTGTAGCATATTGTGTTATATTACACTACTTATTGTCAGGAAAAAGCAAATAAATGATTACACACAGGCAAAATAAAGGTTGAATACTGCTGTTGTGATGAATTGGGGCCGGTGCATGGTCCATCTTTCTGTCTTGTTGCTCATAAAAGGTACCTTTGTGGTTTTTCCATGCAGAGAATGTATGCTTGTATACTATGTAGGCAAGCAGCACTGCCTGCCATCAGTCTATTCTAACAAATGCATGCACAATCTGCACAAGATTCACTTTTGAACAGATTAGCGGTACCAGTTGTAACTTGCATTAGGTCTATTTCAGAGACACTGGTGTTGATTAGCAGTAGAGTATGATCACTTTGCAAATTGAATTTTAATTTAGCTTAATGAATGAGGTAAAGCTAGAAAAAAAAAGGGTATTTCCACAGTGGGGTGTGCGAGGACCCAGAGGGGAAAATAAAAAAAGGGGGCTTTTAAGAAACAAGTCCAGACCTCGTGTATAAAAATCTTAGAAGTACATTTATTCAATAAATCGTTGTATACATTATTTAAGATAAAAAACGGAATACAAAATCATCAATAAAAATGCTTTTACAAATGCAGGTTCACCGAATGGTGACGATACCGTGCAGTTACGATGTATATGGTTGTTTGTTATCAGAATGGTATAAACGCTCCTGTAAGTCCCTACATGTTTCGCCCCGAAAGGGCTTCTTCAGGGGAGAGAGACAATTCTATGGGAGATATGTGTCATATATGTGTCTTCCCCGTCAGTTAGTCAGGGAAGCAAGAATATAGTGGAAAAACTGCTTCAAATACAAACAAGGGATTGGTTTTGTCAAGCATGAACCGCCACAGGTAAACACAAATGGAGGGATCGCGTCGGAGACAGCACCCTGTAGTCTTCAGGAAAAACAGGCAGCCGGCATACTAGACTTAGAGGTAGTGAAGTTCTGCTCTTGCCGTGTGTGGTGTTGCTGTTTCTTTCCCAGACATCTGAGGTAAAGCTAAGTGACAATTTACTTTGCAAAGTATACCCAGTCATGTTCAAGGAATGCAAATGCTCACATGTTAATGGACGATTAAAGTCAGTGCAGCTTCACTAAGTGAAGTGAATTTTCACATTGCAAAATGAACTTCACGTTGCTTAGTGAATGAGGAGAAGCTGTGCTGTCTTTAATTTTCCAGCGATGTGGGAGCAAAAAACAGTTTTTTTACATTTATTTTAACATGATTGGTATTCTGCACAGAGTTGTTCTACTACTTTACTACATTAACTCTTCTATATCCATCATGTGCTACTCTCTGAACTCCAGTACAATTCCAAGTAATGTCTAAACAGCATTTTGGTTTGTATACTAGTTCTTGTTGGCTAGTGAACATTGTGTGTAATATAGTAACAGTTTGCTACTATAGCATACACCAGAACACAGATCATAATATGAGACTCCTGGCTGGTCACCAAGGTTTTACAACTGAAAGTTTCTCACATGCATGTCTTCTTAAATCACGAAACAAAAACTTGACACTGATGATAATAATCACTTGTATATTTTTAAGATTTTTAATTTTTTTTTTGCATGTCTGGAATATTTTTTTAGCATTTTTCTATTTAGGTTTAAATAAGAATTTCCCTGTATTATTTATTTTTCTCTAATATTTTATATTGTTTAATTATATGTTTTTTTAGATTTCCAATTGAAATCACAAGTGTGACTTTGATGTTCTTTTCTAGGTGGGCTCTGTATGACAAGGCAGACTTCTCAGGTAATCTTTGGGTATTAGAAGAAGGCATCTTTCCCGATTTGTGTGCTATGGGATGCCCACATGATGCAGCTATTAGGTCCTTAAAGATGATAAGCTATGTAAGTATAGTATTCACTCACACAAGTTTTTTTGATTATTAGCTATGTATTCTCTCGTGTTCCGGTCCAGACACATTTCATTTAAGTACATCTGCTTGTAGACATATTAATAGAAATGCCTTAGATAACATAACATCAATACATTATGCAGTGGAATACATTCACCCTGTGCAGAGGTTGTGGTGTGATTGTTCCCAGCTACTTCCTATATGGCTGCAGAACCTACAGATAATGGCGATGTAACTATTTCAGATGCCCATTGCAGTTTAGACTTCTTTTAGGTTTCCCGTTATGCAATTGTGGATTTAAAAAACAACATGCAGCACAACATTGATGTAATAAAATCCACTTGCTTTCTTCCTGAGACATTAGCTTTTGTTACATTTTAGGATATAGTAATAATGACCAGATAATAAGTGCTAAAGAAGTGCCTGTACATAGACTGAATTTTGTTGGGGATGGTACAGATTTTAGTACCACTTCTAACAATCGGCTTTGTGTGGGTTGACGGCTAAATGATAACAAGTACTTCTGACTATCTAAAGACCTGATTATTGAATCCCCCCTCCCTTTTAGATTGATTGTAAGCCCTCACGGGCAGGGCCCTCCTTACCATCTTGTCTTGAATTGTATTGTGATTGTAATGTCGTCCTTATATTGTAAGACGCTGCACAAACTGTTGGCGCTATATAAATCCTGTATAATAATTAAATGCATGTGTGATCAGTGATCATGTATTTTTCCTAATAGAAGTGAGAACACCCCCTTTGCCATGCATTTTAATATCTGGTACATTTGGGGGTAATCTTGCAGGTTCAGCAGTTTAGTCGTGACTGACAAATTTCTCACCGCTGGTTGTCAAAAAACCTGATCTGAAAAATGCAAACATAAACTACATTTGCAAAGGAAACTTCCTCTGGATCAGTTCTGTAGATATACTTTGTTTTTGTCATTAGACTAATACATGAAAACTGTAGCCTAGGTATAATAGGTCTGTTTCCTATTACAAACGTGAAGCATAAGATCTAATTAGTTATTACAGGACAACATCTCCACATTTGTTTGCTCACATTTGTTTGCTAGGAATTAAAGTATACCTATATTTAAATGTCGACCCTCAGTCACACTTGCCTCCTGGAATGTCAGAAGAAATTGATCTAAGAAGTATAAACAAACTTTATACTTCCCAGGTCAAATTCTCCTACATTTTAAATGTATTCCCCTTCAGCAGAGATCTCCTGACCGAATGTCTAAGCTTATTAGCACTTTCTGGATCCACCTAAAGTGGCTGGATTAGGGGAAACCTATAGTGGCTGGATCAGATGCCTACAGATACATTTGATGGATCAGGTGACTGTCATCTGATGTCTATGGGTAGCTACACGGGTAACACTTGAAATACCTCTGTACTGACAATGAACTTTGTCTACTTTCTGTATCTTGAACAGGAATTTTCAGAGCCTAATGTAGCACTTTGTGGAAAGGAAAACTTCAAAGGCAGAAGAGTAAAACTTAGCAAAGAATCAACTGACCTGCAGGCGATGGGCTACTCCCCTGATTTAATGTCTCTCGAGGTTCTTGGAGGAATGTAAGTACTTGCGTACCTTAGTGGAAGGTTGTCTAACTAATGGAAAGTGGCTTTGTTCTATTGCAGACCACCTTTGCTGGATTATGCATGTGTTTCTTTTGAAAACATGGCGTTGGGGAGGTGACAGCATTGTACCTTTTAATGCCAAACTAGCTAAGAGAGATCTTTATGCCCTAGTTCCAGAGGCTTTGAAGAAGGTGGGGACTCAATTATTGAACCCATTGGCATTTACCTAACCCTCCATTATGGGTAGATTTGCTTCTTTTCCCAACAGCTCTATTTAATTTCCTTGAAGGATCTTGGAATGTTTGCAAGTATGTATGGTAGACGTAAATTATATAAATGGTGCAAATATTCAGCTGTTTTTGTATTGCTTTCACAGTTATTCTTTTAGACCAGGGGTAGCCAAACTCCTGCCCTCCAGCTGTGGTGGAACTACAAATCCCATGAGGCATTGCAAGATTCTCACAGCCACAGACATGACTCCCGGAGAGAGATGCATCATGGGATTTGTAGTTTCACCACAGCTGGAGGGCCGGAGTTTGGCTAACCGTTTTAGACTGTGTATGGAGCATCTAGTCTAATTGATATCGGCAAAGTGCTTGTTCTTAAATAATGATACACACCTCCATAATCCAGTAATATTGCATGTATTACTGAAAGGTAGCACATTTAAGAGCAGCTGGAACAGAAAATGGGTGCTTAGTGCTAAAGTGCAGGCAGATAAACTGGTCTGCAGGTTACAGGAAGAGTCTCACTATTGGCTTCTCAGATGGCATGAAAGACAATGCTCAGTCGTATTTGATACTGGCTCTCGCAGTTTTCAGTAATGATGCCATGGCATTGCTCTCATCCATACAGAAAATCAGAAGGGAAGAAAATATCTGTATTATGAATCATGATAATTGTTTTACTCTTATGAATGATTTTGTATGTGTATTTTATGTAAGATTTTCCTTGGTACTATGTCTTAATGTAAACATTTCTCTTTTCAGATGGGTGTTTTATGAATATGCTAATTTCAGAGGTCGACAACTATTAATTTTACCAAGTAAGATTGCACAGTGGCAGCAGTTTAGTGGCTGGAACAGAATTGGTTCACTACGTCCCCTTCGACAGGTACTCACAGGCAGAACTGAAGAAGCCTGAAGGTTTCATTTTCTGTGCAAATGTTTGTCAATGTATAAATATTTCTAATAACTAAATACTGATTGGATTGTTTTTCTTGGATGAATTTAGTTATACATTTAGTAAACTACTTCATCAAATAAATGTCATAAGTACTACTTGACTGAAAGTGGGTTTATAAAGACACTTTCTATTAAAGTCGATCTATACATAGAATTTACATGTACCTAAACAAGCTCATCAATTGATTAAGGAGAGTTTAAAGCACAATGTCAGATACAATATGTGAAGAAGCTTTTGCTTTTAGCTCCCCCAATAGGCCAATTGGGAGAATCGTATGTTATCAGAGAAAACAAATCACTAAAACCTCATATAAGTAAGTTACAGTAATTGTCTACATTTTAAAATGTGCAGCATTTATTAAATGAATACCTGGTGATCCTGTAATGAGGACCCTTGTTATATATAGGGTGACAACCTTTTCTTCTCTTCTCTTAAATTATCTCCCTATCCAATGTCCTTCTGATGGAAACTACAAATGGCCATTGCAGCAAACATTAGGTGACTGCAAAGTGAAATGCAACAAAGGATGGTGAAAACAGATATGTTACTTTAGAAAACACATTTGTTATATACAGTGCTTTAGCAAAGTCAAAGGGCAGCCAGTAAGCAGACCCAGGCTAAATGGTTTCTTCTCTGATAGTATTTGACAATCTAGTATAGCCTGTCCTAAAACCATTTATAACCTAGTTTAAAGTTAGGTTAACTAATCTTTTAATGATCTGTCTAATGTTTTATATAGGGGTGCAACGAGTATTTGGGCGAATACAGCATCGAGCAGGCCAAACCGCATGCAGCCGGCGCTTCCCGGCCAATCAAAAAGCCAGGTGGCGAGTCATTACCCGCCGCCCGGCTTTCTGATTGGCCTGGAAGCTGGCTCCATGCTGTTTGGTCAGCTCCGTGCTGATTGGCCAGGAAGCCGGCTTCCCAGTCAATCCGCATCGAGCCATTCAAACAGCATGAAGCCAGCTTCCTGGGCCAATCAGCATCGAGCCTGGCAAACAGCATGGAGCCGGCTTCCCATGCCAATCAGCATCGAGCCGGTTTCCCGAGCAATAAAGAAGCTGGGCAGCGTGTCATTACCTGCCGAACAGCTTCTTGATTGCCCAGGAAGCCGGCTCCATGCTAGTGGAAGTACTGGTGTTGGTATTCGGTATCCACGAGTACCAAAATATAAATATATCGGCACTTGTACTCGATACCGAAAAACCGTTAGCAGTGCATCCCTAGTTTTATGTATGATATATTTCATAATCTCTTGGACCGTTAAGGCTTCATACACTAACCTGTAACAGAAAATATTGTTTTTATTCTTTTGAACAGAAACGACTGTATTTTAAGCTCCGAAATAAAGAAAATGGAATGATGATGTCAACAAATGGAAATCTGGAGGATGTCAAACTTCTAAGGATACAGGTCGTGGAGGACAACGGAGCTGAAGATCAGATCTGGGTTTATCAAAAAGGAGTCATTAGATGTCGGGTGAGACTTTTTAGTCTATTTCTAGATGCACAAGGTGTAAAGAATATTTTATATCTAAACAGACATAGAGCTGCTTTTACAAAGAACCAAAATTAAAGTGCATCTCTAACCACGATTTTGGGTAGAGTGGGAAGGACTAAAACCCCTGTCAAGTTTTACTGCCTTTGGAGGCAACATTAGAGAGATTTCCCCTCACTCACTGTCCCGGGGGCATCATGTTCCCCAGACAGAAATTGAACGAAACTCTCCAACAGCAACACAGACAAAAGTAAAAATGATTTGAAGTTAAGTAGGAGAATGTAGGGGAATCCCTGCTAGCTTTTTAATGTTGTCTGTTTCCCAGTTGCAGATTTTTCCTCACTTACTGTCTGGTAAAACGTTGTCCAAAGAACAGAAAGTGAGGGGAAATCTCTCCAATAGAGCCCCAGATAGCAGTAAAATCTGACATGGGTTCTAATCTTTCCCCACACTATCCAAAACCATAGATACACTATACATTTTCCTTATGAGAACCAACACAATAAAATTTTCAGATTTCCATAAAGAGGATGGCTGTAGGAGTATAGCAGCTACAGCAGTAGGGGTTCATTTAACAAAAGTTCCTAGTGCCCCTGATTGGCACTGACGAGTATAGGAAATGTCTTTTTTAAAAAGTCCTTAATAAGGTTATGTACGAAATCATCAATAACCAGAGGAAATTCGCTCAGTGGGTGCCACTGTCGGCACTCCTCCATCCGGCATCCCTTTTATCAATTGATCGAAGGAGCTGGTTGGAAAATTCTCAGCAGAACGGAGCTAGTCAGAATACAATGCAAACAGCGGGGGACTCCTCAATCTGATGGAGGAATCTGTTCTATTTTTATCATTCAGCCCGAAGGTTGAAAGAGAAAAAATAGAAATGTGTAAACCCGACTTCAGGGTTGTTCTTCATATTAACCACCAAGAGTCCACAGTCTGTGAATTAATGTTCCCATGCTCTGGTCTCTTTGCCCAGGGAACAGAAATTTGCATTCTGTGTTTGACAGCTGTAAGGGCAACCAATAGCATTAGTAATAATCAAAAATCACTGCGCTGGGAATGAGTGACTCAAATAGCATTGTTCCCAATAAAATGCTATGATATTGTGACCACATGAAATTTTATAGAAAAAAAACCTCTCCTGACTCAACACTGTCTGTGAGTTTCTTTCACATTTTTGGTTAGCAACCTGTAATTTAAAAAAAACCTGATCAGAGGGTATTTAATAAAACAATTTACCAAATAAAAACATTCTATATTCTTAAAAATAATTACGTTAGGTAAAAAAGTCATAGGCAGCCGAGTGAATGATCGACCTGAAGCGAAGTGAGCCGAACGCTGTTCGGCTACTCACTTCAGGCTGGTACAGCTGATTTCAGCCCTATATAATAGTGAAAAAAGTAGAAAAATAGAAAACAATTGTGCTGAGCTAGCAGTGACAGCTAGCTCTGCCCAACTGTTTTCTATTGGCCGCTGGTTCTGCTGCCGTCAAAAAAAAGAAAGAAAAAAAATTTGGCCAGATTACTAGATTCCTATTGGCTATTTCAATTTGCAATAGCAAACTAGCTATTGTACCCGCCCTCTGCTGCTGTCAATCACTAGTGGGGACCTGATGGAGAACTGCAGCAGAGGGCGGGTACGAGGCATATGTCTTTGGCTCGACTGAGCCACTCGGCCAAGTTCGAGTGATGTATGGGCTATTGTGAATAGCCCGTACAGCAGCCCTTCGGTTCTACTGAACCGAAGGGGTCCTGGGACCAAAGCTAGCCGAAGGATTGGCCGAAGCTACGACTAGATCCTTCGGCTGCTTCGTGAATAGACCCCATAGAGTTTTTGTAAAATGAATCAGTACTGGCACTAAATTTGGTCTGGGCATCCACACCTCAATCTGGTCTATTTCTAGATGCACAAGGTGTAAAGAGTATTTTATATCTAAACAGACATAGAGCTGCTTTTACAAAGAACCAAAATTAAAGTGCATCTCTAACCACGTTTTTGGATAGAGTGGGAAAGACTACAACCCCTGTAAAGTTTACTGCCTATGGAGGCAACATTTGGGCATCCACACCTTAATCTGGCCATGTGGAAGATCTGTGTATATGAAAATCAAATGTCGCCATGCAGTTAAAAATGAACACAAATACTTTAATTTAAATATATTTCTCAATAACCACAAAAGATATAAATCTACTTTGTGTGCACCCAATGCTTTTGCAAACCCAGTTGTCACCATATAAAGTAGTGGTTAGATCATCACTGTGCTGTATAGTGCGTGTGCAGCGAGCAGACTCAGGCAGGACCACCCACTACAGGAAGGGGGCAGATACAAGACCAGTCACCCTGCACAAGGAGAGCGAATAGCAGGGACTGGTCTTTAGTACAGGAAGCTCCTGCACAGAGGTAAAAGGTACTGCACAGATCTGGTAGGAATACACAAAGCACAGCAAGATGAAAGTAACAATACACACGCCTCGTGTGATTAGACAATATTTACTTATCCCAGAGTTCAGCTTTAAAGTGTAATCTATGGAGATCTTTATCTGCTTGCTCTGATTTGGGCCAGTGACATTCTTCTGTTTTCCTGGATGAAGAAGACGTTGTGGGAACATGCACTATAAAAATAAAATGTTTACTAGAATATTACTGGTGACTTCTGCTGAAAAGAGCTGTGTCTGTGCCAAAAACAACATTATATAATGGCACACAAGGAGTCTTTTTACAAATTGCAGCATTTCAAGAAATGATAGTCTATTTTTATCTGCTAACTCATTGGCACACATGATAAAATATGTTCTATGTGATTCCAAACCATCTGTTTTGATATTTAGTTATTTTACAGAAGAATAATTGTCTATTAAGGGAACCTTCTGCTAACATTGCAGCATTAATGATTTTACAAAAGTCTCTGTAAATTCTTCTTGACTGTTTTAATCCCTCGAAATGTACACATCATGTAAGGCCTGAAACTTTATATATTGCTTGGAATGTTTATGAACATTACCTTTATCGTTTCTCCTTGCTTTTTCAGAAATCTGCTAATAATGGCCACCCTTAGATTTTAGGTGACCATAAACAGGGTTGCTTTTGTGTTATTGCCTTTCAGTTATTTCTTTAATTTCTATATTGTTTAAAGCTTAAAGTGAAAACAAAAATGTGTATACTGTTGCAGTGAAAATGTTTGTCTTCCCCGTTAAGTTTGTTGGGTCATTTGGCATTTTTGTAGTGCATTTATGCATGTTTTTATATGCTTTTGATGAGTTTTACCACTTAAGCAGGGGAATTTATCAAAGCTAGAAGATGATTGGTGGCCATGGGCGACTGCTGCAGATTCAGCCAGCTCCTGTTTTGATAAATTCCTTAATGTGTTTTTCTTTTGGTCAATGACAAGCAATATGTGCTGTGGCATCATTAGGCGTTATCTTCCTTTGAGGAGACTTTAAGCACAAACACGCATCAAAAATGTACCTACATGCGTTTTTCAAGTGGTCCCATTAAAAACTGTGTATCATCAAAAGAAGCACCAGCACCTTTCCAAAAATGACACTGCACCATATTACATTGATGTGATCATGTACCATTAGGAATATTGTGATTTCTACTGATGAGCAGTGCAGCATGAACGCCAGATGCAGGAGAAATCGCACCAATGTGGCCTTCAAAAATAGAAGCAACATTGACAAAGAGAAATAACTTTGCCTTCCTTGGTAACAGAAATACATTTTTTGTGTCATGTTAACCCCTTCATGACTAAGCTTGTTTTTAGTTTCTGTTCATAAATGACTGACACACTTTTGACATTTTTACTGTGTGATTCTTCCACGTCAGTAATATACTTTCTTACAAAGTGCACCCACACATAATATATATTGGGGTCTATTCACGAAGCTGGCCGTAGCTTCGGCCGATCCTTCGGCTAGCTTCGGCCCCAGGACCCCTTCGGGTTCAGTAGAACCGAGGGGGTGCTGTACGGGCTATTCACAATAGCCCGTACAGCTCCCGATCATTGCCGAGCGGCTCGGTCGAATTGAAGTAGCCAATAGTAAACTCCCAATGCTTTTGAATGGGACATTCACTCGGCTGCCCTCGGCAGCTTTGTGAATAGACCCCATTGTTTTTTAGAGGACAGATAGGGCTACATATTTATATCACATATGTGTGTCTAATGCCTCACTTAGGACAAATACAATATAAACAAAGAGGAAAACACGTAAAAAAAACACTTTTTCCCCAGTTTTGATTTGTAGTATTTTTTTACAAAACCAGCACAGCTAAAAAAAAATGCAATAAATACATTCATTTATTTGTCCCTTATTTTTTTACACTTATTTGTTTTTATTTTTTTTTTACACTTAAAAATGTTATTTTATTTATTTAATTATATCAAGCAGTCATTGTGAATGAATCTCACTGTTACTGCTTGATAGATTAATACATTTTTGGTTATTATCAGGCTGCTTCAAACTTCAGAACAGCCGATAATAAGTTAGTGACACTGATCCTGCAGCAGTTCAGGATTCAGCTGTCACTATAGGTTTTCTGATTGTTGCAACAACGATCAGCAAACTGAAACATTCTTCTTTCAGGAATAGATACATTATGTATCTATTCCTGAAAGTGAAAGAAAAAAAAAAGCCAGTATAGCTTGAGAGAGATATCTCTCGATCTATACGAGCTGTCAGAATGCCGCATGTGTGCCCGCTCTGCTTTGACTCTCAGGGGTTAAATAGGACAAATGGAAGCAGAGTAGTAGTAGTTTCTAGTAAAACGATGCATGTTTAAACTGGTAAAAAATGATTTTCTGGTTTGGCATCAAAACTAAACTTATTTTCAGGTTTCTGAGGTTTTCCTGAACTGCTCCTGTGTAAAAATAATGAACAGCTTTTGCAGCTAATATAATGTTTCCATTCCTACAAACACATCTACAGCAGGGTCCCTGTATTCTTCAGCTCATCGAGCTCATCAAGTCACAGTTTGTTCCCTGACCCTCAAACATTTGTTATTAGAAAACTGTAACATATATAATAGTTCTATGAATAATAATAGATAATAATATTACTGTTACGTAATGCTGTTGACACTTCCTCTTGGTATTTGCAGTTGTCATTGTGGTTGCTACAATACTCATTTTTGAGTAAATGCGCAGAAATCCATTTTATTTTGTCACGTATCACTATAGTGTACTCACTGACTTTCCGGCAGAGTTTAAGTTGGGGAAGTACACTCAGTGCAGGAAGTGAACAGGTACATATATATCCTTCCTGGGTAGGGAGATGCAAGGTCACAGGCACCCAGTGCAAAGCACACTGGTAAATGAAGCCAGTAACAACACACAGCTATTAGAGACACCACAAGGCCATTCTCACTGACAGCTGACCATCCAACCCTAGGTAACACTGTCTCGCCACTAGCCACTTCACCTTAAAGTGACATTAAACGCAGGAGTTGAATCTTAGAAGTGCATTCAAGTACCCTAATTATTAGCATAAATGACTGAAAGTGGGTTTATTTGTGTATCACTCGGCTGTAGATCTTCAAATCATCTCTGAATTCATCATGACACTCCTTCCTCCTGGAGTGTGGCTATTTTGTTCCCAATGGTCCCTGTGAGTGTTGTAAAGTAGCCACCACTCCAAGCTCGCTTCCGTGAGTGACTACAATCTCACGTTTAGTTTACTAATTTGTATTTTATCACGGGAAGATTTAAATCCTGTGTTCAGTGTCACTTTAAGGACTAGGAAGTGGTGTGGAGCTCTACAGAGATTATTGACCACCTTCTCACCCCCAGACATTTAGTAACCTTCTTTCAGCCTCCGGCTATTTTGTCAAATCCTTGAAAAGTCCCATCAAACTTTGGAGGTCAATGCTGACCACTTTGGGAAATCCTGTAATACAGCCATCATACCATGATAGCTGCTGACAGCAAGATCTGCCTCACAGATCAGGACTTAGGCTGCCCCATGTATGTTTCTCAGCTCTCTTTATTTGTGTATGCTTGTTACATGCTTCTTCTGGTAGGAGTAAATGAGTAAATCATAGTAATTCATCATTTTATGCCTGCAGATTGCTGAAGATTGCAGCTTGGCTGGTGCAGGGAGCCTGATCACCGGTGGGAGCAAGCTTGGCTTCAGTCCGGATGATCCTGGAACATCACCAGTTCTCTGGAGTATCAGTCCTGAGGGCAGGATCCACAGCCGATCCAAGCCAAATCTAGTTTTAGATGTCAAAGGTAAGGTACACTTCAGACCAAACAATAATATATAAAGGGGCATCAGGCATAACTGTGCAGGCTATCCCAGGGCTTACAATCTCCATGTTGCTGGTATTTGTATTTTGTTGTAACACAAATTATTGGCTTATGTAACTATGCAGACAAAAATGCTTATCTACTGTAGGCTCCCTGTTACTGCTCACGTCAATAAGCCAAGCGACCCTAGGCTGAAGTTCAGCTCAGAAACACACATTGAAGACTTCTGGAATCTAGTGTCTGACTTTAGGGAACTTGTACTCTTAATGTAAATTGACTATTAGACCTCCCACTAGTTTAGCATCACTATTAGAACTTGCCCTCACAACAAACAAGACCTTAGTTCATCCCACTGCCTGGACCCTGTGCTTCAGATATTTATCTCATGTCTCACTGCAACAGCATGTGCTCTAGATGTGCATACAAAGGACACAGTCGTACACATTAATGGCCGCCTGGCCCCTGGCTTGGTACATGCTTACAAAGTCAGATATTCTGTCCTAATGGTCAAGCCTGGCACTTGTGGATATACAGTGTAGACAATCACAGCAAGAGAGCATGTAAACATTCCAAAGATCACACAGCAAATGCATAGTGGCTTCTCATTTATACTGGGAATCTCCTTGCTGTGCCCATGTGTGTCCCAGCTGTACCTATAGATTGTACTTTTGCCGTATACAAACCTTGCCTACTGGTGACACTTTAGCTTCTCTTTGCGTATACAAAGCTCATATTCATGTTACATAGTTACATAGTATTTGGGGTTGAATAAAGACATACGTCCAAGTCCAACCCATATAGGTCCACGCATCATCTCATTCTTAGGGATACTGGTATCCCTGGATATTACTGTCCCTCAAGAAATTGTCCAAACGTTTCTTGAACAAATCTACACTCTTGGCTGAAATCACTGCCGATGGCAGTGAGTTCCAGACCCTAACCGCTCTTACTGTAAAGAACCCTCTCCGCCCATTGTGCTGGAATTTTTTCTCCACCAACTTTAGGTGGTGGCCTCTAGTCTTTGTAATGGAGTTAATGTCAAACAGTTTGTTGCCAATGTTGCTGTCACCATTGAACATCTTGTACATGAAAATCATATCCCCCCTTAATCTCCTTAATTCCAGCGTAAACATGTTTAAGGTCAGAAGCCTTGTCTCATAGCTCTGGTCCTCCATTCCCCTAATTAGTTTTGTTGCCCTCCGCTGGACTCTCTCCAGTTCAAGGACATCCCTTCTCAGTACCGGCGACCAAAACTGGACCGCGTACTCCAGATGTGGCCGAACCAACGATCTATATAGAGGCACAATTATAGACTTGTCCCTGCAATACATCCCCTTCTTAATACAGGACAAGACCCTGCTAGCTTTGTTTACCGCAGCTTGGTACTGCAAGCTACCATTCAGTTTGTGGTCTACAATGACCCCCAAATCTTTTTCTATTTCTGACTTCCCCAGCGGCATACCCATGATTGCATAGCCTATTTGTTTATTGTTTATTATATGTTGTGAAGAACTCTTGATAGGGGAACTTAGCCGAATATGCCCTGTGTCAGTGTAACCTTTTGTAGTAATGGTCCCATCATTACATTTACATTATGGTAACATCATTTATATTTACCATTCAGATGATATTTAACTAATGACACTTGGATTGGTTTAGCTACACTTTCTAAATTGCTACAGTTAGACTGATTTCATAGTTACACACACAGTTAAATGTGCGTGTGTGTGATATATATATATATATATATATATAGTAGAACCTTAGATATTATACTTAAGCACTAAATGATTGGTTTATATGAATAGCTTGGGTGTAATGCTAGTAGCAATAGTATAGTAAGAGTATTTTGAATGAAAGCTTCAGCCATTTGAATGTGATCCGATAATGCTTATTTGTTACATTTTGCACATTTTTCTTTCTCGCAGGGGGCAGTCAGTTTGATCAACAACACATTGTACTGAGCCCAGTAACGGAAGGCAAGCTCACCCAGCTGTGGGAAATATGTGTTTTATAAACAGACGCCGGTGTAGAGCAGATGCTCTGGTGACTCAAGGTACTCATTGTTCATTCTATGCACTGGCTGTCTACACTGCTGCTAAAAGACCTGTGTCCTGAGAATCGTGACTTTCAGAGGATACGTTTACATCTCCACTGAGGATGCCATGGAGTCAACTGGTTTTATGTTCACTGGAACTTTTAGAATGCCTTCTATTAACCCTTGATTTTTAAAGCTTGAAGCGTGTGCAATATTCAGAGGAACTTAATCCAAAGCTCAAGCACAGCCGAGGCAAAAAGGCCTACCATGTGGAACTTCTACGTGTTATGGTGACTCTTGTACATAGAGTATTAAAAAATGAGGCAACTCACAGACCTTCACTACAAAACACTTGGCCATGTATCTATATGTTATCATCTCAAAGTGATACCTGCACTGTTTCACTGGTCCCCACTGAGTCTGTTGTCCTTTGTAATGAAATGATCAGAAACCAAAAGTATTCAGAAGCACTGCTGAGCTACTTAGACTACAAATCAACTCACCGGATTCACCTTGTACATGGCAACTTCAGTCCTTTGTGCCTGCTTCATGTTTGCCCCTGCAGATTTCTGTGTAATTGTATGTCTGTCAGATGCTGGCCTATGCAAATGGCTCCGTTAGATGTAAAAAAAAAAAGGCATATTTAATTCAGAAATGTGCGACTCCTGTGTGACAATGTATATTATTGGAGCAGTGCTCCAATTAGATGTTTGCAATACACACACACACACACACACACACACACACACACGGAAATTCCATCATCATCAAAACACACAGAAAAGTTATTTGTAAAAAGATCAAACAATCCTGTGCAGGGCCCACTAATTAATCTTAGACATGATAAATCTGATATATGTGGCATGCATGTGCAGTTGTCATTCACTGGGTGATTCGGAAGACACATTAGACATGCCACTTCCATCCATATACCCCACAGAGTGTCTGTTCTCACTTCTCAAAACTTCCAGCCTTGAATCTTCCATGTGTACCCCATCTCCTTCAACAATCAAAGCCTTGCATTCCACTGTCAATGATCCTTAGTGCCTCCTATCCCATCCCAATACACCATATCTGATCCTTACTGCCTTCTCCTTGTGTACCAAAAGCATCATCCATCCTAAAACTATTGTTCACTTCAAACAGGCATTCTGTTTCCTGGTGGTCAGGAAGATGTTGGAAAGTGGCACAGCACCGTTTCTGACCGCTGAAGGGTGAATTTCCAAGAAACCAAATACTACTGAACTGTTGGTTGTTGTTATGTGTTTGCTCTCATGTATCACTGTAGAAAAGTGCACAATACCAGGAGCTGCTTAGTGTTTGAGTGCTGGTGAAATGTATTAGTCAGGTTTTTCTTTTACTTCTGTTCATGGGAACTCATTTTATAGGATGAGCTAGTAGTACATTTGCCTCACTCCTTGTGCGTAAGCTGTGTGTATGTGTGTGCGTAGCAGTACCATAATAAAGATGAATCATTTGGTTCAGGGAACCATTTTGATTGAGTGGAACTTTTAAAGAGCTATGTAAATAGCCATTAACACAGACTATTGACACTACCATGTCAAGTCTGTGTGGATTGCATCTTCAAGGACAAAGTGTGGGTAGAATTCTTCTGAATTTTGTGGAGCATGCAAGCCAAATTAAAATGATGTTGAAGGAAACTGAAAATAGCTTGTGCTGTTTTGTTCTACTCGTCATCTACGAATGCCCCTGTGTATATAGGCGCTTTCATTCTCTTTGGAATCCTACTGTCACATCTCACAGAAGAAGTAACTGTGGTGTGTACCCTAATAAAGACAAAGAGGACAATTTACCAAAACTGGAGCATTTTCTTGGGGCAACCAATCAGCTTCTCTCTTCGGTTTGCTCAGTCAAGTTTTGAAAAGCAAAAAAGAGAAGCTGATTGGTTGCCATGCACAGCTGCTCCAGTTTTGATAAATGCCCCTCACAGTCTAGTTTGGTTTAGCAATAGCCGATGCACTCTCATACAATATGCAAAGAGTCTTTAATAAAGATTTGTACCTTATTGAATGTAATCTTACAAATTCGGCATGTTAAGCCACGCCCATACTATGCTTTTTGTAATTAAGGAATTTCAAGTAGAATACCAAAGAAGAACACCTTAAGAGAATTGGCATAGCCGGGGAAATATATAGAGCGTGTGCCATTATTGTAGTATTGTTCTTGCTGGGAAATACTTTAGTATGGGAAAGCTCACAATTCCAAACACAAGCAATAATAGAAACATTGAGTATTGGTGACCACTGGACACTAAAGCTTTATTTCAGAATATTTTTGAAAAAAATATAAATATGACTATTTAAAAATGACCTGATGTGCCTTTACATGTTTGTCATTAAGATGTTTCCTCTTGTTTCTGGACTACTTTAAAGTTGGTGGATATTTTTTTACAATCTTTTTTTTTTTTTTTTGGAATATAAATAAAACAGATTTTACTTTGAATCCATTGTCTGGTCTGAATTATATTAACACATGCATTGCATCCTGAAGCTTATATATTTAACAGGCAAGGAGACAACTGACCATTGGAAAACCCCACCATACTTATTACAGATCTGAGCAGGACCTGAAGAAGACTCCCTCTATGTAGTACTTGTTTAGACAATTCTGCACAAACTACCTGTACCGCAGTGCCATTGATGTAAGGGACTCCGCGTCTTACAGCTTTCACTACATTATTTTAGGAGGAAAGAGTCCTAGGAGAGTGAAGCTGCTGAGCCTGTATTTCTCGAATATTCTATTATGGCTCTTATTGATGTGTTCCGTGCCAATTTAAAGATGGAGGAGCAGTCTGCAGCTGCAACTAGTGCTGCCTTTCCCATGTACTCACTGATCCCAGGCTATGAAAGTCCTGCTAAACTATTTACACCTCCCATATGTTTTGAAGTCCAATAATTATTTAACCACTTAGTGACACCGTTTCAGAAAGGCTTTTTGTTCCTGGGGACTGGAGCAATTTTGCCATTTTTGCTACGTGTTTACCATCATTTTCCTCATTCATTGCACCTACACATATTATATACCGTTTTTAAAGGATAAAATGGCCTTTCATTTGATGTGACATATGCAAAAAAACAAAATTTTCACAGTTTTGCCAATAATAATGTGTACATAATTAGTGTAGCTAACAAATTAATTCATAATAAATTATTTTTATTTGTCCTGATTTATAGGGTATATCATATGCCCGGGATTTCAGTATATTGTGGAGGTATAAGTCACAAAATACAAGGAGTACAATACAATTTTAGTGTTGAACAATTTTAGAATATGGTATGTTTGTCTACTAACTATAATACCCTCCTCGGCACTATATTTTCTTATCATTTTTTTATTAAACATCTTTTTTTTAATGGGATGGGCACTAAAGGGTAAACATTTTTTATTCACAGGGACTTTGGATACTTAGTATTCTGCTCCGAGATACTTTGTATCATTGTGTAGCACACTGATCCGAGTTGCTCAACTCCACAACACAGTGAGCTGCAAGCTGGGTCAGTGGCTGTAACAGTACTGTAATCACAGTGCTAAGACCCTCTGATTCGCTGTTGAGGGTCTGCCTCGAACACCGAGGGACTCAGCAACAGCATTAACGTTATGAGCGCTGGTCCCTCCACGCACCAGCACTAATTTTCCCGCATGACGAAGTTATTCCGTCACCGGTCTTTAACTAACGGAAAGATTTTGAACGGAATAATTATGTCATCGGTCGTAAAGGGGTTATATTTATTACTATGGTCTTTTATGAAATAAATTAGGGATGCACCGATACTGGTATCGGTATCGGTGCCGATACCGAGTATTTGGGTGAGTACTCGTACTCGCCCAAATGCTCCGATACCTTGTACGAGTACTTCCTGTATCAGGAAGCCGGGCAGCTCGTCATTACACGCTGCCCGGTTTCCTTATTGGCCGGGAAACTGCTCCATGCTCTCTAGTCACTTGTGATGAGAGAGCATGGAGCCGACTTCCTGGCAAATCAGGAAGCTGGGTATCGTGTAATGACGCGCTGCCCGGCTTCCCGATTGGTCAGAAAGCTAGCCAATCCGGAAGCCGGGGTGCCGTGTAATGACGCAGCTTCCGGCATTCTGATTGGCCGGCGTCATGCTCCCTCGTCATCTCATGAATCATAATATTAATAAAATGACCTAAAATCATTAGTTTGTATTGCTTTTAAAAAATGTGACCTGGTCCTTTAACCCTTTCGCTGCCAAGCCCTCCGGAACATTTTTCAAATCAGACTATCATCTTTTTCTATTTCAAAAGGGAAATGTCGGGGGGTCTATTTAGACCCCAGATATTTCGCCGCAGCCCCCCCAACAGTAAAAAAATAAAAATAAAAAAATAAAAATGTAAAAAATAAGTTACATCATGCCAGCCAGTCAATCAAAAAACCTGGAAGAAGACGAGAAGATGGCAGCACTGGCAAAAGAGGGGAGAGCAGACAGCAATGTCGGAGAGGATTGTCTACAAGTAAGTCAGCCATAGTGTGATAATATGCTGTGCACACTATGGCCATTACCGGCGTAGCACTTTTAAAATTTTTTTACCACTTTACTTCCACTTTAAGGAAGGTTTTGGAAGAAAACTACTGGCCCTTGTTCTTATTAGGAGTGAGAACTTCTGTTCTATTCTCCCGCACATTAGAATAAGATGTAGCATCTCACTGTTAGCAGATAAGTTGGGAGGGGGGCCATGTCAGGTAGGGTGTATGGGGACCCAAGATTTCTAATGGCGGCCCTGCCTACCCTAGCAGTAGAAACCTAAGCTGGGAAGCCTTACACCCCCTGTCCCCTGAGGCCAATAAGGGTTCATTTTGTTACTCCCAGACTTCACCTTCTAAGACCAAACCCAAGCCAGGAGCCCAGTTTCACTCCAAACCCTGCACTCCGAGATCTGCTTCCTACCCAAAGCGATTTTGGCCTTTCATTTTAACCAAGACATTGTGCTTCCATCTCTCTGTTCAGCACCAGTACATTAGAAGGGGATTTCCATTTATTGTCTGCATGGAATTAGAGCTGTGCATGTCTGCCACATAGTCTTTGTAATGGAAGCAGTGGCTATCTCTCTCTTTATCATCCCTGATGGTCCCCAGAAAGGGGAACCAATTTCTTGTTCCACGATTTCTCGGTGGCTCAGCCAGATCATAATTTAAGCTTATGGTCTTAAGGATCGGTTGCCACCCTTTCCTGTCAAGGCACAGGTCTGTAAGTGTTGCTTGGGCTTTGCATCCCCATCAGGCAACTGTTTCCCAGATTTGTAAGGGTGCTACCTGGTCTTCTTGACATGTACTCTAAGGTCTCGTTCACACCTAGGCGTATTGCATATGCGCGTCTGTCGCACGTTTTTTTAACCGCGTTTCGCTGTAAAAAAGTCACGCGTTTCCAAAGGCTACTTGGCTGTATCTCAATGGAAACGCTCAACAAAACGGCCCAAAGTAGTACCTGTACCTTTTCAGGCGTGGGCCGTTTTGTAGCACGTTAGGAACGGGCGGAAATACGCCAAGGTGGGAACGAGACCATTGAATACAATGGGATTTATATTTTTGAGCGTTTTGTAGAGCGTTCGTCGAGCGTAGAACGTGCTACAAAACGTTCAGGTGTG